GCATCAAACTCACAACCTGTCTCTTGTTTCATAAACTTCAAAGCTGTAATCTATACATTTTTTACCTGCTGTAGAAAAGCCTGTGTTTTCCCCACTGTGGGACCACTAATACATAAGTATTGTGGCAGCTTGTATAGTGACCTACATGTGTAACGTTACTTGTTACTATAAACAGAGTATCAAGATCAAGTTATCTCAACTTTAAATTCAATTCAATGGGTGTTGTTGGTCATTCAATTTAAATCCTGATCAGCTCCATCAAGGGTAACTAGGTTAATATCTGTAAACACTTATGGGCCAGACTTTTGATATGACTTGAAGTCAGGATGTCAATTATTGATTTGTTTAGCTTGTCAGTAGCGTTGCTCTAAAAAAGTGTGGAGAAGAGACAGAACTGAAAGCTGGAGCTCTGAACAGCACTTATATGTAACAGTTAATAATGCAGCAGGCAAAACATCCATCATTTCTTCCATTTTCTTTTTCAATGTGTCCTTATCCTACATTTCAGGATTACAGAAGAGAGAAGCTTGTAGCCTGATTTCCACTATACGAAGAATATCTGAAGATGGAGTCCTAATTGCATGATTGACTTTATTAAGCATGAATGTAGGCAGGCCTCATTGATGTAACAGCAACCTGTGTTTCGATGACCTTCGACCACCTGGATTATTTGTGTGTGGGTGTGTGTGGGTGAGCATATGTATAGATCTATGTGTGTCTTTGCTGAGTGGGCGTATGTGAGCGAGCTTGTAACAGTACCTGAAGGTAAAAGGTTGATAAAGTGGCAAGAACAGTAGAAAGCCTGCAACACACAGCATTCATGATAAGCAAATGACTACTGAAGGCCGTAATCGCTCCAGGCAGACAGACACAAGGTATCACCCCAGGGCAGCCATACAGAAGTAGGTTGTTATGAAGCATGGGTGCAACAGCCAATTGGCTGAAGAAGAACAGATAAGACGTAGTCCAATAGGCCCACAGTAGCCCAGGGTAAACCCCACAGGCTTTATAATGCAAACCTGAGAGCTATAGGCCACCAAACAGAAGAGAACCACTGGAGTATGTGGTCTACAAAAACAACAACACACCAAGGGGGACCAGTCCTCACTGCCCCATCAACCATGACACTGTTGGAGTCACACCAACACCTATAGACCTCGACAAAATCACCAAAGACCCAACAGCGAGGGCAAGATGACCACACAGCACCAGCCCCCGGTTATTCTTAAGCATAACTGTACTGGTTTCATTGGTAAAATTGACTATTTTTGTCTCATTAGGCTTTTTATTTCTATAGGGGTTGGAGAGTGGAGTGTTTGCCTGGTGATCAGTGGCGTCAAGTATCAGTAGTTATAAACATTCTATGATTTGATGATTTTTAGCCTTTTAAAGGTAAATATACGTATATAAATAATCAAATAATGCATTTAACAACACAGAGTAATTGATATGAAATATTGTTTTTTGTTTTTCTTCCAACCCAAAAGAAAGAGACTTTTCTCCAAAGCAGTGGTGCCTCTACCTGTCTTGGTGGCGCTCATTACATGATGTTGCACCCCTTCTGAAGGATTTACAAAGTCTGAGACCTCGAGGCCCAAAAACAGATTTTAACGACTTATGCAACATTTACAATGAACGCGATTTGAGCAACAAATAAGTGTCTGCTGTTTCATCTTTCATGCTTGTACACATTAAGGTAAGACACGCATCTTTGAGGTCCCTAAGGCACATCCAGTAATGTGTAAAAATGAATTTGATTCTTGTGCTGCCCTTGTTCTAATGGCAGATGGGCTTTATTTAAACCACTTTGTTAAAACAGCTAAAAAGTAGTTTTAACATGTTTTTATGCAAGAAGGTACACCTGAAAACATTATCTACAGTCAGTTTATCTAGATTACGATCCTGCCTTCAAATATTATTTCTACATTGGAGACGCTCAGACTCTTGGGGGTTTTCCCCTACTGTTGGTGGCAGCTGGAAGTAGATTTTAGCGTTTTTGAGGTATGTTTTACAAAATACAGGCACCAGAATAATAAAAGCAAACATATTTTGCCGGCAGGTTTCAACGTTTTTACTTAATTTAGGCGTTAATAAACATTTTCAGGGGTGTGATCATAGCACTCTGCGTCAACAGTCCTGTCTCTATCTCCCTGCCAGCTCACAGATCAGCTTCTCTTATTGGTTGATATGGGGTTGAGCAGAAAAAATCAGTTTTTTTCAAAGTCCAGAATCTGCTACTTATGAATCGTGTCACGCACCTCATATTCCTAAATGCTCATTAGGAGCCGCTTCAGCTGCATGGGTCAAACAAAATTACATGATTATGATGACGACTAACATGATAACATTGTTAAAAGTTTGAAAAAAATCTATTTTGCATGATTTATGCCTTTGAAATTGTCAAAAGAGGGGTAATGACCAAAGTTTTATCACCAGATAGAGGTTTGGGCACTGACTGATGGATATCTAACCTGTTAAGCCCAGAGGGTGTGGAGTAAAAATGAGCACTGAGAGTTGATATGCAAGGAAGAAAAGGTTTTATTTTACTCTGCAGAGGAGAATGACACAAACAGCTGAATACAGCTCTCAGTGTGATTCTGACGAGGTCGCTGCCCATCCTTTGCATTTTTAGAGAATTCTTACACACGAACATTGAGTCTTCCCAACAGAAACACTTCATCAAAGGACATAGGTATATGTTCAGATAAACATTTCAGACAACTGTTTTCCATTCACACCAGAGACAGGACGTGGGGATCTTAAACACCATAAGGACCTGTTTATCTATGTTTCCCTCTTATCTAAACTAGGGAGGAAACTCCTTTTCAAACCTCCTTCCTTTCCCTACATCTCAGCATAAAGAATGGAACAATAGCTTCTAACTAATCACCCCTATTCAGAAAGAAAAACCGGCACACTTTAATATTTAACCTTACTAACATCCAAGGAAAAAAAACACAGACCACAAGGGTTTTAGAATAAATTTCACCTGAAAATAAAAAAAACTCAATAAATCAAGAATTATTCCACAGTTATCAGGTCCGCTCAAGCGTCTGGTGCTTGTGTAAAGGTAGATAACACATACTGTAAAAGTATTGTTTTTCTAGTTTAATCATTATTGCATTTGGACTCAATTGTTTGTAACTTGGGTCACAGAAACATTTAACAAATGTCTCACAGTCCCCTAGCTGAAAACCTGTGAGGGAAGAAATTATGTTCAGTAATGGCTGCTACTCACTACAACAGAAATAATAATAGCAGATAATGCTCTAGGTTTTTATATTGACGCAACCATAAAATAAAACAGGTTTAGAACAGTATCATCTAAATCATTCACATGTTGAAATGTTTTCAGAGAAATGAAGCTCCAGGGAAACGGCTAAATTTAAGCTTCAGCTGAAGTCAGACTGACTAACGCAGTGATGTGATCTCGGTTCAGCCTCTCCTCCCTCTCTTTCTGAAGCGCTCCAGCTAATGAAACGCTCCACTGGAGTGGATGTGGAGGACCTCGAGGACCCCGTGGGACTACCTTTCGTAAATGCCTGCCTGGATAAGACTCTTTCATAACTGGGGCACAGGTTATGAGTCAAACATATCAGTTTGAAGCTCTCTTTGCTTTGCTGGTTCCCCCCCTCAGAAAACCTTCACATAATAGCAGCAACAGTAATATAAAGAGGCACTCCCAACAAGAGGGCAGTCCCAAGTTCCGCTCTAATATGTAAGATTATGTCTGGCTGGCATTAATCTCTCAGAGGAAGTTCATTCTGAGGAAAGAACTCCAGTTTAACCAGGTTTATACCAACATTATAGAATTACAGAACAGAATAATTTAGCCTTTGGTGAATTATAGAGTATTACAGTTTGTCAAGCGTTAACATGCATGCAGATAGGATTGACATTAACCACTATTGAGTAAACAGTAAACTCCAATTCTGCCAAATTCAAAGATATTATTTTGACTAGAATGTTTACATGACATATTGTTAGTCTGTTTATTCTGATACCTTTTATCTATGGAAACGTAACCATTCATTAGGTCATCATTAAATGTTCTCAAATGATCAGGCCAAATGTGTTTCCTTTAAGCTTTAAATTATTCAAATTCAAGGTAAAATGTTGAAATTCTTAACTAATATATTCCACTCTTTAACAAGGACAATGATAAAAATATAGTTTTATTACCTGCTGGTGGTTATAATGTTATTCATATTATGTTTCTGAATTGGTTGTTTGGATTGAAATTCCTACAGTTGGGACTCTGCACTGAGTCTCAGTCACTTCATTGATACACGGTTAAAGATTTCACCTTCTCATTATTTAGGTTGGTCGTCCGAAAAGCAATTTAAATGATCAGCGCTGTTATTTTGATTTAATTTATATGTTATTTGGTCAAAATGTTGGAGAAATGGAAAACCACATGGTGAGAGAGTCGGACTGCAAGCATTGGAAAACCAGACCCCGCTGTTATTTCCTGCAGATATTTATATTTTTTCCTAAAAGTCTGTTTGCAGCAGCCTTTAACCAAATAAAAGGGGCATTTCTTAATGCTTGTGGAAACTATAACTGTAAGTCATGATCATGCCTTATTCACTATGCAAGCCCACTGACCTTTTTTAAGCTCTTGTTTTATATTGTTGCAAAGTGCATCAGAGCTAAACTAGTATTTTTATGCATCTAAGTAGTTCAGAACAAAAATACATCCAACTGCTTTAGGAACATCTGAAAAGAGAAAAAATTCCAGTAGGCACATCTCACTTATCCCTTGCTATTCTCCAAAAGGACTTTAATAACAATATTTCCATTATTGGACTGGAAAGGATTTGCATCCCTTACTAAAACTGACCTTGGCTGTTTTGCACTGTTGTCATGGCAACAAATGAGAAAACGTAATTGTGCCTCGGCTATAAATGTGTTTCCAACACTCTAAGAGCGAAGATGAATCTCAAGAATGAAGTAAAAATAGCTGCAGTTACTTTTTTATTTATTTTTTTCACCGGTACCTGAAATGGAGTCTGGCTGTTGTAGTTCTTCACTTCCTTGTCGGCTCCACGGACCAGCAGCACTCTAGCACAGTTGTCCTGAGAGAGAGAGAAATAAACAGAACATGAATAACGAGTAAGATTAGCCTGAAAAGACCCGAAAGACCTAAATTCTCAAGTTCTCCTACTTTGATCTGAAAGAACGTTGGCTATCTTCCGGTGAAGGAGTTTTCCAAGAGGTCAGAGCAGCAGAAACTGGTAATTATGTTCAAATGCCTAAACATGTCAATAGGGACCCAGAACCAGCAGCAACATCTACTACCTTCACCAGGAGTGGAGCTTCTTCTGCTTAAAGTGTGAATCTGTTGCTCCACTCCCAGAGAAAGAAAGAGAGAGAGGGTGAGAGAGATAGAGAAACAGAGACAAGAGGAGTGAAGGAGAGAGCTGAGGGGTTTAAATCTGCTGTACAACTCGCCCACAATGTGCTCCACCACGCATGCACCGTGCACACATACATGAATATAAATACTTTTTTTAGACCCACAATGAGCTGTTGGAGAGAGTTGGCAGGAGAATCACAAATTGAAGCACAACCAGCATTTGAACGGTGCAGTCAGCTCATTCCATACATCCCTGCCGTTAGACGCTTTCCTTTTTATTTAAGACCGTTTATTTTTACTCACACACCTAGATGGAAGCCAATCTTTCAACATGCTGTCTTTTCTCTGCAGATATATGGGTAATTGAGGCTCATTGAGAGAAAAAACTAAAGCAATTAATCAAAAGCAGAGTAGAAACAAAGATGGAGGGAACCGTCTAAAAGGTTGAGGCATAAAGGTTTATAAAGCAAAAGATTCTCCTTGTTGAAAATCATAGAAACTTCAGCTGCATTTAGCTTTAATTTTAAATTATTTAAATCACCAGCTGATTTAAAAAAAGATATAAGAACATTAAATGCTACTATGCTTTATTTCCTGAAGTAATATTTACAAATAACAAGATTGAGTTTCAGATGTAACAAATGACAGGAGAAAAACAGGCGGTCCAACTTCTCTGTAATCCTGCTCCATGTTCAGGGCCACTGAACATTTTTTCTCCCACCATGACAAACTCAAAGTTCAAACTAGATACGGGCAATTTACTAGTTTGATGGTGCACCGTGGAATAAAAACTCACTGTTTTAACCACCAAAGTGTTCTGTCATACCGTCCCTGCGGTACAAGCATTTTGATTTTATATATCAAATATATATAAATCTGTTCTCCCTCACTAAAAGGGGCTAATTTTCTAGATTTTTAATCTGATTTGATGTGAGAGCCCCACAGGGACGCCTTTCTTAAAAAGCTGCTGCTCTGTGGTCCACTGGTCAAACGCAGAACAGTGAGGTAAATGCACTCACATGGAGAGCGCCACAAAAGACAATAGACAGGTATGGGGTATTGCAGGCGAACAAATAAACCAAAAAACCCCCATTCCATAGTGGTGGACCCGGTGGACCATTTCCATTTGCATGTTTTCCAAGGAAAAACAAGACTTTGTTGGACTACTGTACAAAGCCTTGAACAAAACGCTAATTATGACATCTGAATTAAAAAAAACTTCCTGGATGGGAAGCAAAATGTCTTCAAACTAGAAAAACAAAGTCCAGTGGATGTTTTTTTTTTTTTTTTACATTTTTGGAATAACTATGAAATGGATGACTGAGTATCTTCACCAAATATGCCACAAAAGAGCTTTAGATGCCGATGCTGACCTGCAGCTAGAGGGTTTCAGAGCCAGGCAAGGTTTGAAATGGTTTAGTTCTTGCATTTGAGGCGATTTCCTTCATAGCATGTGAAATGTGCGCAGGGGCTGCCAAGATTGATGTGAACCAGGCTAATCTGAAGACTGTGCTCCCTCATTTTTAACATGTGGACTTTGAAACATGGGGAGAGAACAGTCTAGCTAGACCTGGTCTACTCTAACATTAAAGATGCATGGCTGCGTCCCCAGGTTCACCACCAATCACATTGTGAAGTTTGAAGACGACACTACGGCGGAGGGCCTCATCAGAGATGACAACGACTTGGACTTAGACAACTTTTGTTGTCATTTTGTATACACAGAATGTATACATATCGAAATTTCGTTTAGTGCAGCTTTCCAGACAATCAAATGACCAGGACTATAGAGACGAGGTGGAACAGCTGGTGGGCTGGTGCAGAGATAACATCCTGATCCTGAATGTGGAGAAGAAGGAGATCATCGTCGACTTCAGGAAGAACTGTTCTCCCATGGTGGGGGTGCTGTCACAGAAACTGATTATGCAGAACCTGCTGGTCCTGCATCGAATGCTGCGAAGCCTTTTCCCAGGGGGCAGCAGGGAGAACAGTCCATGGTGGGGGAGTGAGGGGTCATTGATGATGTAACCGGCTCAGGACACGCAGCGCTGAGATAAAATGTCTTAAATGAAGGGAAAAGGAGCCTCGATGATCTTCTCTGCTGTCCTCACCACTCTTCTCACCTTCTTCCAGTCTGAGACGCTGCAGCTTCCACACCACGTACTGAGACAGCTGTTCAGAACGCTCTCTATGGTGCTCCTGTAGAAGGTTGTGAGGATGGGTGGGGGCAGGCGGGGTCTCTTCATCCTCCGCAGGAACTACTTGCGCTTTTTTTGCCCTTTTGACCAGTGAGGTGGTGTTTAAAGTCCAGGCAAGGTTGTCTGTGATGTGCACCCCCAGGAATTTAGTGCTTGTGACCACGTCTACAGCTGTGCTGTTGATGAGCAGTGTAGAGTGAACAATGAAGGAACTGCAGTTTGGGCTGCAGCAACAGATGACCAGATAGTAATAGCCCCCCACTCTATCAGAAAACAGCCTTTGAATATATATATATATATTTTTTTTTGATAGTTGTTTATTTCTAGCTTTATACATAAACCGAGCTGATTGAATATGTTGGTGAACATTCTCAGTCATCCAGGTCATACTCATTTCCAAAAAAGTAAAAAAAAAAAAAAAATTCACTGGATATTGTTTCCAAGTTTGAAGATGTTTCGTTACCCAATCCAGGAAGCCTCTTCAATTCAAAATGTCTGAAATAGCGTTGAGTTCAAGGCTTTATAGAGTGACCAAAGCAAAGCCTTGTTTTTGCTTAGAAACATGTAAATTGAAACTGACGAGCAGGTCCCCCCCTTAGGGAAGGGGGTCGTTTTGTTTCTTTGTTAGCCTGTAATACATGAAACCTGTCTATATCTCTGAAATGGGGGTCATTAAAGGAAATTATTGGCCTGGCTGAAGAGGCGAGGTGCTCTGGTCCCCTGTAATGGGGTTGGGAATGATTGCTTTTTCTTTTTTAACATAGATGGCTTCTTTCATTTCCCTCTCAAACTCCCTGTCCTCTTTGTCGAAAATATGAACATTCTGGTCCTCAAAAGCATGTCCTCTTTCCATAAGGTGTAGATGTACCGCAGAGTCGCTCTTCTGTGTTGGGCCATGCGTCTGTGGAGAGGTTGTTTGCTTTCTCCAATATAGAGATCAGAGCATTCCTTGCTGCATTGTACGGCATACGCCACTCCGCTCATATTTGGTCTGGGGGTTTTCTGATGCCCTTTTTTTGTAATGTGCATAACAGTCGCAGTGAGGTTTTAAAGGTGTTGCTCAATATTTCAACACAGTAACTGTTAGGTTCAAAAATGTAGGTTCATAAAAGAGAAACTGAGTCCACAGAGGAAAGAGATTCAAACAGCTCCTGCAGGAGTGGAAAGAACCCAACCCAACTTTCAACTCTTTCTCCAACCCCCCTCCTGCAGTCGTCTTTTATTAACAGAACATAACACATGGTTACAAAATTGAGTATTGTTCTGACAGAACAATTGATCAGGTCATAAGACAGGATGCTTTCCTCTTGACTGAATCACAAGGCAGAGTGAAGCATCTCCTTGCTTCAATGTTTATATGTACATACATTCAATTTATAATCATCATTGAATAAACCTAGCAGTAACTCTGTGAGGTAATATTAGTGCACAATACAGAATATGAAGTGCAGCATGATTTAAAATATCCAGAATTTAATACTTCTGGATATTTTAGTTTGAATGTATTTTATATGAGGTCTTCAGCTAATCTTATTGTCTATCATTAATTCCAATAACTTAATTTCCTTAACTCTCTTCTACTGTTACATTATCTATCAGGATACGTAATTTCACAGNCAAGGTTTGAAATGGTTTAGTTCTTGCATTTGAGGCGATTTCCTTCATAGCATGTGAAATGTGTGCAGGGGCTGCCAAGTTTGATGTGAACCAGGCTAATTTGAAAACTGTGCTCCCTTATTTTTTTTTTTCCCTCCCTCATTTTTAACAACATGTGGACTTTGCAACTTGGGGACAGAACACTAGACCTGGTCTACTCTAACATTGAAGATGCATGACTGCGTCCCCTCGTTGACCACCAATCACATTGTGAAGTTTGCAGACGACACTACGGGGGAGTGCCTCATAAAGGTACACAACTTTTATTGTCATTTTGTATACAAATCGAAATGTATTTTAGTGCAGCTTTCTAGACAGTAAAACGACCAGTACTATAGAGAGGAGGTAAAGCAGCTGATGGACTCATGCAGATATTACAGTCTGATCCTGAATGAGGAGAAGATGGAGATCATTGTCGACTTCAGGAAGAACTGTTCTCCCATGGTGGGGGTGCTGTTACAGAAACTGCTTATGCAGAACCTGCTGGTCCTGCATCGAATGCTGTGGAGCATCTTCTCAGAGGGCAGAAGGCAGAGCAATCCATGGTGGGGGAGTGAGGGGTCATTGATGATGTAACCGGCTGGGAACACTCTGCGCTCGGATGAAATGTCTTTAAAGGGAAATGCCGTTTTTTTTTACATTGTACCCTTGAGTTTACGTTATTACTTCATGTTCTACTCACCCATATGAGTTTTGTGTCATTTGTAGCTGTTCTGAAGATATTCCGTTAAACGTTTAACACCTTCCTATGGGCAAACGGCTTGAAGGCACAAAGTAAACTGTTCATAATTTATTCTTTATGGTACGCCAGCATTCATAACATGTAGGCGAATCACAGTCCGCCAGACATCCAGTTATATTTTTTATATTTATATCTTTTAAAAACAAAGCAGAGTGTGTATGACGTCATCCGCATGCTGGATTGGAGTTGTGACGGGCAGCGCGGGCCACAGGGCGGCTACGCTCTACTCCTATACATTCAGCTGGCTAATTTGAATCGTTCAATTCCATTTCGAGAGCGAGATCATCTGTAGTAGTAGCACTAGACATCTTCCAGGCATGTGAGTAAAACTAGCAGCGGCTCAGTGGACCGGATGAAGGAATGGTAGCCGGCACGCGTGGATGAAGTCATACATGCGCCGCTTCGTTTTTAAAAGATATACATATAAAAAAAATAACCACGGATGTCTGGGGGACAGTGATTCGCCTACATGTTTTGAATTCTGGCGTACCATAAAGAATAAATTATGAACAGTTTAGGTTGTGCCTTCAACTCATTGCCCATAGGAAGACGTTACTTGGATATAATCTAACGGAATATCTTCAGAACGGCTCCAAATGACAAAAAACTCATATGGGTGAGTAGAACATGGTGTAATAACATAAAATCAAGGGCCCAATGTAAAAAAAAAATGAGGGAAGAGGAGCCCTGATGATCTTCTCTGCTGTTCTCACCACTCTTCTCACCTTCTTCCAGTCTGAGGTGCTGCAGCCTCCACACCACGTACTGAGACAGCTGGTCAGAATGTTCTCTATGGTGCTTTTGTAGAAGGTTGTGAGGATGGGTGGGGGAAGGTGGGCTCTCCTCATCATCTGTTGGAAGTAGAAACGCTTTTGTGCCCTTTTGACGAGTGAGGTGGTGTTTACAGTCCAGGCAAGGTTGTCTGTGATGTGCACCCCCAGAAATTTGGTGCTGCTGACCACCTCTACAGCTGAGCTGTTGATGAACAGTGGAGTGTGAACAGTGAAGGAACTGCAGTTTGGGCTGCAGCAACAGATGACCAGATAGTAATAGCCCTCCACTCTATCAGAAAACAGATTTTGAATATTTTTTTGATAGTTGTTTATTTCTAGCTTTATACATAAACCGAGCTGATTGAATATGTTGGTGAAGATTCTCAGTCATCCAGGTCATATTCATTTCCAAAAAAGTAAAAAAAAATAATTCACTGGATACTGTTTCCAAGTTTGAAGACGTTTCATTACCCATCCAGGAAGCCTCTTCAATTCAAAATGTCTGAAATAGCGTTGAGTTCAAGGCTTTATTGAGTGACCAAAGCAAAGCCTTGTTTTTGCTTAGAAACATGCAAAATGAAACTGACGAGCAGGTCCACCCCTTAGGGAAGGGGGTCGTTTTGTTTCTTTGTTAACATGTAATACACGAAACCTGTCTATATCTCTGAAATGGGGGTCATTAAAGGAAATTATTGACCTGGCTGAAGAGGCGAGGTGCTCTGATCCGCTGTAATGGGGTTGGGGTTGCAATGATTGTTTTTCTTTTTTAACATAGATGGCTTACTTCATTTCCCTCTCAAACTCCCTGTCCTCTTTGTCCAAAATATGAACATTCTGGTCCTTAAAAGAATGTCCCTTTTTCCATAAGGTGTAGATGTACCGCAGTCGCTCTTCTGTGTTGGGCCATGCATCTCTGGAGAGGTTGTTTGCTTTCTCCAATATAAAGATCAGAGCATTCCTTGCTGCATTGTATGGCATACACTACTCCCCTCATCTTTGGTCTGGAGGTTTTCTGATGCCCTTTTTTTGTAATGTGCATAACAGTCGCAGTGAGGTTTTAAAGGTGTTGCTCAATATTTCAACACAGTAACTGTTAGGTTAAAAAATGTAGGTTTGTAAAAGAGAAACTGAGTCCACACAGGAAAGAGATTCAAACAGCTCCTGCAGGAGTGGAAAGAACCTAACCCAACTTTCAACTCTTTCCCCGACCCCCCTCCTGCAGTCGTCTTTTATTAACAGAACATAACACATGGTTACAAAATAGAGTATTGTTCTGACAGAACAATTGATCAGGTCATAAGACAGGATGCTCTCCTCTAGACTGAATCACAAGGCAGAGTGAAGCATCTCCTTGCTTCAATGCTTATATGTACATACATTCATTTTATAATCATCATTGAATAAACAGTAACTCTGAGGTAATATTAGTGCACTATACAGAATATGAAGTGCAGCATGATTTAAAATATCCAGAATTTAATACTTCTGGATATTTAAGTTAGAATGTATTTTATATGAGGTCTCCAGCTAATCTTATTGTCTATCATTAATTCCAATAACTTAATTCCCTTAACTCTCTTCTACTGTTACATTATCTATCAGGATACGTAATTTCACAGTGTCCAAACAACATACACTTGGTTTTATTCAAATTAAATGCTAGTTTATTAATATAAAACAAAGTTAATATACCAACCAAGCTGATCCAAATTATCACCTGTATAAAAGATGTTACTATTGTCTGCAAATTGGCCCCAATACTGACCCCTGGGGGACACCATGAACAATGTCCAAGCAAGATGACTGGCTTTCATCCATTTGCATAAATTGTTGCCTGTTGCTTAGATAACTTTTCAGCCAGAGCAGTACTATTCCCCGGATGCCAAAACACTCCAATTTCTTGATTAATATTTTGTGATTTATTGCGTCAAAAGCTTTTTTCAGATCAATAAACACACCAACTGCAGATTTCTTATAATCTAATTCAATGACAGCCATTGCTGTAGATCTTTGTGATCTAAATTCATACTGATTTTTGGAAAGCAGTTTATGTTTATTAATGAATGTATCTAATCTATCCACAAATAATGTCTCCAAAGTTTTGGAAAATTGTGGAAGTAGAGAAACAGGTCTATAATTTGTGAGATGGTGTCTGTCCCCACATTTATAAAGTGAAATAACTGTGGCAATTTTCATCTTTTCTGGAAGTTTACCCGACTGAAATGACAGATTGCAGATGTATGTTAGAAGCTGAATCATTTCCTCAATAGCGTTCTTAATTACTGTCATATCAATGCCATCAGAGTTAGTTGACCTCTTACTTTTACTGTTATTGACAATATCTCTAATTTCCCTTTAGAGATAGAGCTCCAGTTGTTGTAGCATCCGGGATTTTTTCTGTCAGTTTGGGTCCCACACTCACAAAATATGTATTCAAATTATGAACAACGTCATTAATGTCCTCAAAATTGCTATTATTTACAATAAACGGGAAATTTCATTTTGCCAGTCTTTCTTGATAAAATGATTCAATGCATTCCAAATCCCTTTGATATTTTTCTTATTTCTATCTAATAATTTACTGTTACAATTCTCTTTAGGTATTTGTAGAATATCAGTTAATTTATTCTTATATTTCTTATATTTCTTACCTACCTCCAAAGTTCTATGTCTTATGAAATCTATATAGTTTGTTCTTTTTTTTGCAGAAATTTTGCAAATCCTTTGTGATCCATGGGGCTTCTGATTTTTGTTTTTATGAGAGAACATTATTAAAGGACATTTTTTATCATGTAATACTTTAAAGGTAAACAATAAATTATCACGTGCTATATCTACATTATCTTCTTGCAAAACTTTATACAAGATGAAACACATTCCAGTCCAAAATTATTTTCTTTATAGCATCTCCTCAACATCTCTCATTTACAGCAGCTCTCCCCAAAGGAGATGCATGAAACCCAAACATTATTGTAGATGAACGCAGTCTGCACGCTGCTCACCTGGTTGTAGAGGGCACAGATGTGCAGGGCGGTATTTCCCGAGGCGTTTTGAGCGCTCATCACGGCTCCGTAGAACAGCAGATGTTCCAGATGCTGCACATGTCCATGACGGCAGGCCTGCACACAGACACAGAGCAGCTGACTTTTAAACAGAGCCTGAACTCCAGTGCAGTGTCAAACCATTACCAGTAGATGTCAGCCTGAAGCAGGGAAGATCTCGAAGCCAGGGAGCAGCTGGTAGCCTCGGTTTGAACCCGGCTGTAGAGTTAAAGAGGTCAATAAACACTAATTTAACAGGGTCACAAAGAGCTGCTCATCTGGAAGTTCAGGTGTTTATGAACTGAATTGGTTTTTAAATTACTGAGAGATTGATAGATTTTAGTTTAGTCTAACATAATATTCAGCTATACTCTACTTATGTGTTTGCCCCCCTCTCTTAAGACTATTGAAATCAAATACAAGGTTTAACCTCTAAGAGCTTCTATGGATCCTCCTGAGGGCAAAAAATTTTGTATATTTTATAAAAAGAAACATTGGAATCATTTTTTTGCTGGCTGACTGGATGCTCCACATGATTGAAGGTTCTGTCCTCAATATGCTGCTTTCATTAATTCTGGAGAATTTATTACATTTATGCCCCATGTAAAGAGAAAGTCATGAATAGCCGATAAAAATGGACAATGATCTGATTTTCTACAGTTTTACAGAGATTATATCACGTTTTAACATTTTTGAAAGAGACAGCAAAGTGCTTAGGCTGCAAAAACAAAGAGTTAGGTGATCAAACTTTAAAATGCACTGTGAGGGCATTAAAAATGGATGTTGCTTATGTTGCAAGAAAAGTCATCAAGCTTGCAAACATAAGCGATGCAAAAACAGCTGAGTTACAGCTTGTAGTCGAGCCGATGTCTGATCCTCATGCAAAATGTCAGAGGTCTGTAAGGTGAAGCCGGATTGATTTAAACAGACTGAAAACACACCGCTGGGAGAATATCTACAGAAACACAAGCTGGGCTGATGCTGTAGCACTGCTTCACCTCATCTCCACCCCAATAATGTTGTTATCAGTAAGATTCTGAGCAACTAAATACAAACAGCCGTAAATAAATTGTAAAGTGGAGCTTTTCTTAATCTGGTCATAAGTGTAGGTTCAGGAGAAATCGTTTCCTAGAATATTAGACAGAGTGAGCATCACCTTGACTGTGTTCTGCTGCTGGTTGACAGCTGATTGTTATCACGCCTGAAACAGGACGGATGGAGAAAGGCTGAGATTTGGCAACTCGACAGGGAGGGAGATAAGCAATCGGATGAATCCAAAGGCCTAAACACACTTGTGTGTGTGTGTGTGTGTGTATACGGGCTATGCAGAGGCTCAGAGTTTGTCGCTGCTGCAGGGCCGCTCTTTAAACGGCTTTATCTGCTTCACTGAGGAAACAGCCGCCAAGACTGGGAGCCAAAGCCGAGGGGAGAATGGTTTGTATTCCAAGACTGCTGCAAGAACCAAAAAGAAGCAACCTCTTTCTGTGTGTGTACCTGGTGAACCTCGTGCCAGCCGTTCTCATCCTGGGTGCAGACGGAGGCGTGGTGGTTAAGCAGGAGCTCGCAGCAGCCAGGGTCTCCTCCCACCACCACGCTGTGGTACAGAGGCGTCAGACCGCGGCTGTCTTTGTAATCTGGAGATGCTCCCAACTCCAGCAGCGTCTGGGTGAAGAGGGAGAGAAGACACGTTCAAGTTTTTCCATTTAAAGTTTGTCTTACTGTGTTTAATGCAATGCCACAAGGCTTCAGTAAATGCTTAATTTTTTTCCAAATGATGAAGTTAGACATCCATCAAATCAACTTTTTCATCACACCATGCAGAAGGAAAAGGGACTTTAGGAAACTTTAAGTCTTATTCTGTCTTCCTGGTGGATTAAAGGTAAACTATATTAAAATGTACCCACGTAGTTTACAACTATGGAGGATAAAAAGTGCCAAAATTAAATAAATAAATAAATAGAGCATTAAATAAATAATTAAATGTGTCAATAATTAATTAAATGTGGAATTAAATAAATAAATGTGTCATTCATTAATTAAAACCACGTCACTAATATAAAGTTATCTAACACCTGATTGGTCACCCTGCACATTAAGGCGAAGCAAATCGATTACAGAGACTCGATTCGCGTTAACCCCGCCCCCTAACTTTGAAGGGTGAGTTTGACAGATTCCTTTAATGGTTTCAATGCAATGGGACACAGGACCATGAAATAATTAAATGCACACTGAAATAATTATATAGATTTTTCTAATAAAATGAAGACGTATTTTATTAAATTAATGACACATTTATATATTTAATTCCTTATTTATTTAATGAATTACACATTTAATTAATTGTTTATCGCTGTATTTATTTATTTAATTGTGGCACTTTATATTAGTGAGGTGGTTTTTTAATTAATGAATGACCCATTTATTAATTTAATTCCACATTTAATTAATTATTGACACATTTAATTATTTATTTAATGCTGTATTTATCTATTTAATTTTGGCACTTTTATCCTCCATATACAACTTTTCTAAATAGAGTAATAAAAACAACAAAACCTGAATAAAACAACCAAAAATTAAAAAATATTGCCTGGCTATGCATGGGGGGGTGGGGGTTATTGTTATTTTAGATAAAATTAAAAACTTCCAAAATTGATCTGAAAACTGCTCGCCAAGTTGACTTAGAGATTTAGTACAGCATTTATTAAGCACCTGATTACAAAAATTCTCCTACTAAAGGTTAGCCATGTTTATAGTTTTTATCATAGCTAAAGTATAACTAAGAGAGATAAAAGGAGGAAAACAGTCCAGGGAATCATATTGAGAGATTTTTTTCAGTAATTTATTTGTAAATTATGTTGTAAAATAAGCATTTGGTCAATAAGAAGAGTTCAGCTCTGTATTATTTCCTTTTTCCTGTTAGTCTTCACCAGGTTTGCTCACAGCAGCTGGTATTTTGGCCCATTCCTCCATGTGGAGGTGATGTTTTAGGCTATCACTGCACAGTATATCAACTCCCTCCACCAGAGCTGGGTCGACCCCCTAAATTACGTGACACCAGTGAACTAACAAGCAGAAACAACTCTGTTTACATTCGATAAACATGGAGCAGCTCTGGTGAGAGGGATTCAGGCAGATAATAGAGAGAAACAATAAAGCACACTGACTATGCACTGGCTTCCTTCCATTTTACTCTCCATTGTCTGCTTTCATGATTTCTGTCGCACTGGTGACTTCATCAACGCCAACCCAGTGTGATGATGTCACCAGACATGTATCAGTGGGGGGAGAAAGGCCAGCGAGGGGTTAGACCATTTTTTTTATGCCAGTTTGGAAGCGAGCCAAACACTGATTGTTAGAGGGTCGAACCATGTTTGAAAAGCACCTTTTAACCTGCTTTTTTCAGAGGCTTTAAATATTTTATTTATTTATTTTAACAAAGTAAACTCAAACGGGGCTTATTTTGCTATCTGCTTTTCAAAGCTATCTGCTCAGGAACCTTGAACGAAAATGTTTTTTGCGCAGGCATTTCACATAAACTAAGGCATTTTACCCGGGGATATGTCCCCCCAAATATACAATCCTAAAGACACCCCTGCTTTTAGCCCACCTGTATTTAATACAACAATAAGCAGGAGCGAAAGAAAAGGAGGCATAATGTTTTCTCACCATGAGTATGACCTGGTTTTTGGAGCGGGCAGCTTTGTGAAGGGAAGTCATACCATCCTTGGCCCTGAAGTCAAGATGAGCTCCTCCGTTCTTCAACACCCTAATCATCTCCACAGCATTGTCCAGCTGAGCTGCAAACGTCAGCGGGCTCTCTGAAACACAGAACATTTCAGTAAAGGAAGGAGCCAGAAGGGGTGTTTGCATGTGGTTTCAGCAGAGATTTTCTGCATCGCATTTGTTTTCTTAAAGTTTACCCTCTGTTTAAATCAAAGCAGCAAGGCGAGGAACTCCAGGGAGAGAGCCTGTGAAATGAACAACCAAGGGAAAACTGTGCTATGATTCAGCACCAAACATTTGCAGGTAAAACAAACTCTTAGAACAACAATTCCCCTCCACTGGGAAAAGAAAAAAACTGTCTGTTGGGGTGAAAACAGCATAGCTGCAGCTCAGAGATTTAAGAAGAGCAAAGATGAAGATGGAAAACTCCAACAAGGCAAATAAAGACAATCAGTTGTTTTGTTCGTCTCCTGAGCTTTGATTTTTTAATGTCTTCTGGTTCTTTGGATTAGGGAGGAATCAATTAATTTGAAATTATTTATGAACAAGGATCGCTGTTAAAAAGGATAAGTGTGTTTCCTCACTAAAACTGTCAAGGAAAGCGTGTTTAATAATCTCCTTCAGTCTACAGACTGTGTCCTTCCTTTCTGGTTGCCACTGATGCACATATATCTACATTTTACACTGCAAAACAATCTAGAAATGAGCAAAAATGTCTTAAATTAAGTGTATTTACTATTAATTTGAGTAGGTAAATGTAACCATCTGCCAATGGAATGAGTATTTTTACTCTTAAAATAACATAATCAAATAATATGCACTTGAAATAAGACAATGCAAATGTGTTTTCATATTTTAAATGTAAATCATCTTGTTTCATTGGCAAAATGTTTCTTTTACCTCCTCAATTCAAGAACAAATGCACTTGTTTTAAGAAAAAATGACTTATCTAGATTTAGATTTTTTCCAGTGTATATATATATATATATATATATATATATATATAAAAAAAAATATGATAAACACATGAAATGTCAAAGTTTAATCAACTAATGGGTAAATATTAATAGTAATAAAACATTTATCTTTATCCTCAGGCTTACATTAGGTTAGGTTTTGGCTCAATTGTTCATCATCATCTTAAAAAATCACACCGTAACGTTTAGCCAGCGGCTCTAGATCAGGATCAGATCTGTCTGATTGGTTCTCTCTGGGTGTAGATCACAATATGGATTAGATCCTCCGAAGATATATAGGCGAGTTTCTTAAGGGATCCACCTGCACAGAGCATTAGCGCCATTTGTGTCACAGTAAGGCAGTGTTACTGTAAAACTAATCTTAGGGTATTCAAATGAATCGTATCTCCCCTTATGTATGAGAATATTTTATCTTTTTACAAGTGAACCATAACTTACCGGATCAATTGTTCTACAGCTGGCAGCCTTTTGTAAAACTCACTGAGAGTTTCATTCTGGTTCTGATCCCTATCAGAACTTTTATCCTCTCCATTATTTGCAAACTTCTGCTTAAATCTCTCTCTCTGCCCAGCGAAAAAGTCCTCCAGAATTTCACCATTATTCATTGTTTAGCTTTCTTTTTCTATAAACCTTATAAGAAGCTAGCAAGGTTAGCTTCTGCTATTCAAGTATTTTCATGTAATGACATAATTCCAAATTGCCTTTAAAGGAATTCAATTCTTAATGTGTTTTTTTTTTTGTTTTGTTTTGTTTAAGACAGTAACTGCACTCAAGCTGCAGCCTGAAACAAAGCAAGCGGATGCATGCTGGGTGTTCAGCATACCCACTAAAATCAGAGGATCAGTGAATGGAGGTTTTCTTTGGAACCCTGAAACCAACTGATCAGTTCAATGACCCTCAACAAATTCATTTCTGTCTAACCTGAAAGTTTGTTAGACTTTTACAAATTTCAGTTTTATTATTTTTACTCCCCACACAGGTTTTTAAATCTGTTTGATCTGATAAAAGCAGGTCAGCTGTCTCTCTATTAATTACAGAGGCATAACAAGCAGTGAAAACATGATTAAAGCCGCCATGATGATTCTAAATAAGGTCATCAAAACAAGACCCTTGAAGACAACAAATGTGTCCCAGTTTGACTTAACGTTAATTAGCTTAGCATGGAACCAGGGGATGTTTTGGCCCAGAAAATTCTCAAAAAGGGATCAAGTGCAGCTATTTGGGGGGAAAATAATTTTTTTAGGCAGTGGGAAATTCATTTGATAAAAAAGAAGATTTTAAAGAATGTCTAAAATAAAAAGTTGAACTGTGTCCAATGCTTAACAGGTGAATGACGAAACAACTTGCATTTACAGTAGAAAATGCAACAATTATGTTTTAGTATCTGAAGTCTTTGGAGACGTGTGCAGAATAATCAGCTTTCATCTGTCTGGGTTTATTTATGACTCTGGGTTTCTTGTAGAGCTTGACTCGAATGACGTCAGAGGTGCTGGAGGCTGAAACAAGTATGTCTTCGTCAGAGACTGTAGATAAATGGTTTCTGCTAAGATACAAGGACAGGAAACCCCTTGTAGATTAGAGAATTAGAGTAAACTCATGGTTTTGAGCATGCACAAAATTCTGTAATGCGGTTAGAGGCTTATTAACCTAAACTGGTCAAGATGGCTTCAAGCACAACTACATAAAACCTGAGGTCACTGTGCTTGCAATATAAGCAGGCCTAACAGACACACATCTCCAGATTGCACCTATGCTAAGCTGCTCACCCAGACCTAGAATTTAAATGCTAAATCGACCTTTCAGGTGTTGGAAAGCACAATATTATTAGAATTAAGAAAAGGGAGAAGGAGAAAGAGAAGGAAATGGTCTGAGAAGTGGTTATAATGACTAAACAATTGCTCAAAGGTCAAGGGTTGAGAGCGCAGCACAGGAATCAATAAAGTTTTGTAGCCTTCATTATTTCTTATTACTCTGATGACAACTTTCATCTTTATGGCGATTGTATTTGATGTAATTGAGACAAACTCTCATAATCATAAAGGTTGTGGAGGAATTCTCCTGGGCAGAAATGAACCTAACTGGCCAGGGAAATATCCAGCAGTGGATTTTTTAAGACTAAAAACTTTGCCTTTTTACCGTAAAAACATCAAGTTTGGTTGTGTGACTGGGATGAATGAATCAGGGATGAAGTTTGCATGCTCACAGAAGCAGCTTATTTCATTCCAGGAGGCTGGAAAATGAGCTCTGCTATCTCCCACAGAGCAGACAAGGGGCTTCAGGAGGCAGAGGAGTGATTTTAATGTTATTTTATTGATTACATCAAGAGCTCTGAAAGATTTCTGACATCAATAAGTGGTGAAGTTTGGTTAGTAGGGATCCAGAGTTGCCTCTACCCAACAGTAATAAGACTTTCTTTCAACAATATTTCTGAAAGCCAATTAGAAGAAGTTCAATTATCTTTCTAACGGCTCCTCGTCCTCCTGCCTCGCCTTTATTTGCCTCAGTGGACCACATTTGTTCTGACCGATCTCTGTCCACTCAATACTGCTCAATTTAACCCCAACTGCAGGGTTGAGATACTCTTGACACTTTCATTAAATAGTCATAAATAAACATAATTATCAGCCTTGGTACTCATGGGAAGTCAATAGCACTTAAAGCAGCATGGGTTAGCAAATTACAGCAATGAGTTTTTAAATGCAGGCTGCCTGAGGACAGCATGATAAAGGTGGACACGAGTGAAGCTAATCCTCTCTCTCTGCTCGTCCAGGAATAAAGGAGGATTTATTCCCCTCCTTTCAAAGATAACAGCAGTGTCTTTTATCTGAATGAGAAAGTCCTTATTGGCTGATTGGCGTCCGCAGGTGTGGAAGAAGATAAAGCTTGTGGTGCAGTGGAGGCAAGAGCCTTCCAGAGGGACAGCTCTTAACCCCGCTCCGCCTGCCGCTGCAGACCAGAGGGGTTTTTACTGCTCACTGACAACGAAGGTGAGTTTAAACTCTTCTGAAATAGCAGAGTTGGTCATTTATGAGGAATTCCCGCTGGTTCAGCTTCAGCCCGATGGAGTAACGTTCAAACTGGCAGTAGAACCAAAGAGTCAGCTTTCCTTTCAGCTTTTACAGCTAAAAACTTTTTAAAATTTCAGTTCATTTGTAGATGGTTGTATATTTGACGAACGTTGCTCACATTTTTATTTGTCACTTAACTAGGATCTTTCTGAAGACAATAGAGGAAAGTAACAATGTAGCTTAAATACTGTCACCCTTATCACACTGGAAAGAAGATCTAGAAAAAAGTAAAAAATATCTTAAATTAGGTATATATACCCTTAATTTGAGTGTGTAAATGAGATAGTTTGCCAATGGAATTAATATTTTTACCCTTAAAATAAGATAATTAGATAATATGCACTTGAAATAAGACAATTCAGTTGTGTTTTCTTATTATAAGTGTAAATTGTCTTATTCTATTTGCAAAATGTTTCTTTTACCACCTCAATTAAAGAAGAAATGCACTTATTTTACTTTAAAATTACTTATCTAGATTTCGATTTTTTCCAGTGCACACATCCTTAACCTAAAGAGGTTGTCTGATTTTGAAGATGTGCTCTTAGGGGTGTGTGCTTGGTTCACTCCTCTGCATTGATGCCTCTCCATCAGCTGGCTTGTGATGTTAGCAGACAACACCACCATGGTGGAGGTTAATTAAATTCAATTCAGTTTATTTCTATATTGCCAATTCACAACACATGCCATCTAAATGCATTTAACAATTTAACCAGATCACAGTCAAATTGGTTCTCTAAGTTTCAGTTAAAGAATCAGTTTCTTTAACTCACACAATGACAAGTGCCTCGAATGGAGATCTACCATCTGACCCAGAGGTTTTAAACAAACAACAGACTAACCAAGGAGGTGTTGTGTATGTCATAAGGACCAGAAGTAGATAGACAGTAGAGACAGCGCAATGTGTTGACCTTCATCTCCTCTAACCTGACCTGGAACCAAAACATCTGAGCTTTGAGATGGACGCACAAGGGGATGGCCTGCCCTTTAGAGCTGTGGTTCCAAACTGGGGGTATACGTGCCCCTAGTGGCCAGCAAGTGGACTGCAAGGGGTACATGAAAATATTTTATTTCTTAGGTAGTAAAATAAAATATGTCTGGGATCTGTTCTGCTTTGTCAGGACCCAATTGAAGAATTAAACAAGCTTTTATCAACCAAAAAGTAGGTATTTTTTATATGTTTGCGTTCACCTTCAGCTGTAACCCACATCTAAATGAAGCAGAGGAGCAGTCTGGTTGTACAGCACAGCCTGGTTATTCACACTGAGCTATCTGAGCTCATCAAAGCAGCTCAGGTTTCTTGATGAAAACAAAGTAAAACTAATTAAGTCAATCTCACTATAAATTTTATTCTGTATTTTTTTTCCCAATTCATCAAGTTTAAATGTGATTATAAAGGAGTTACTCATAGGAGCTCCTGTTTTATAAACACAGGTTTGTAGTATATACATTTTTTTTTGTTTTTATTTTGATTCCTTACTAACTTCCTTGCAACATATTTATGTGTTTTTTTATGGAAAGCATACATTTATTAAAAAATTAAATGCTCAAATTAAAAGATTAAGTAAAATAGTCTTTATTTTATTTATTGTACGTTCCACTTTTGGACAATCATCAATACTTTTGACTGAGAGGAGGGGGCTTATGGTAAGACAACATGCCCAAAGGGGAAAACAAGTCAAAAACGATGGGAATCACTGGGTTAGAGTAGCTGAGAACCTTTACAGAGCCGCAAATTACTTGCAGTGGCGCCGCCTTGCGGAAGCGGCCTGATGCAGCAGTTTTACAGCTGCCCTCGACAATTTTGTGGAATTCTCAAGAGCTGTAAAACTCTTGACAAACTTTTGTTTATAAAAAGATAAAACATATGCATCGATCCCGCATCTACGACATCACCTGCTGGAGCTACGGTTACAAAACGCCTTAATACAGCCACTCTTGATCTTTTAAAAAGCTGCGGTGTGCTACGGATGGAAGTGGAAAACAGCCGGCTCACTGAGCAGGCCAGGACGATGCAAGCGGGGCAGCAGAGGCGGGCTAACAGTGAAGCTAAAAGGAAAACCCACAAAACACCGATCTCATAAATCCTGCTCTCCAACTAAGCTCACTGGATAACAAAATGGATTATCTCCGACTCCAGTTAATCAGGGCTAAACCAACAGTTAAAGAAATCTTAAAGTGGTGTGAGGGCGCCATGGAGAAACTCCAAAACTGTTTTAAATGCTCTGACTGGAACATCTTCAAAGCTGCAGTCACCAGTGACAACAAAATAAATATAGATGAGAATGCCTGACTGTGTCAGCCTACATGAACAAATGCATTGAGGATGTCAAAAAAACATCATCACCCGAGCAAACCAACAGCATCGGACGAATGGGGAGGTTTGGAAATCGCTAAAAGCATGGAAATCAGCTTTCAAGTCTGGTGACAGAGAGACACTGAGAACTGAGAAGGATCTTTTCCATGATGCCAGCAACACCAGGAGAATGTGGCAACGCATACAGGTGATAACTGACTACCACACACCCTCCCCTGACTTCCTAAATGAACCAAACAACTTCTTTGGAAGGTTTGAGGCACAAAACAGCCAGACTTAAAGCCTTTACACACCAGGGGGAGGAGGCACTCAACCTTGACATAGCTGAAGAGAGGAAAACTCTGAGGAGAGTCAATCCAAGAAAGGCCCCAGGCCCCAATAACTCACCTGGGCAGGTGTACAAGGACTGTGCAGGTCAGCTGTCCTCATAGTAATTTTTAACACCTTCCTGGATCAATCCATAGTTCCAGCATGCTTTAATTCTCCCACCATCATTCCATCACCTCACTCAATGACTACCAGCCTGTTGCACTGACTCCTATCATGATGAAATGCTTCGAAAGGCTGGTTAAAGAAAACATTATCTCCAGTCTCCCCCAACATGTGACGCGTTCCAGTTCGCCTACAGACGAAACCGCTACACTAAAGACGCCATCTCCTCTGCTCTTTCCCCGAGCCAAGCAAACCTGGAGGAGAAGAAGATCACCATGTGTGAATGCTGATCCTGGACTCCAGTTCAGCTTTCAACATCATCATCCCACAGCATCTGATAGGGAAAACCTAAAAGCAGGTCTTCGATACATTCCTCTTGGCTGTTAAACTTCCTAACACACAGACCTCAGTCAGTCGAGGTTGAACAGGACTCAGCTGATGTCATCACCCTAAGCAGAGGCTTCCCTCAGGGCTGCGTCCTGAGCCCCCTGCTGTTCATCCTGATGACACACACCTGCATCCCCAGGTTCACCACCAAACACATCGTGAAGTTTGGAGACGACACTATGGTGGCTCATCTCATCATTGACAACATTGACCAGGACTACACAGTGGAGGTGGAGCGGCTGTGCTGGTGCAGAGATAACAGCCTGATCGAGAATGTGGAGAAGACGAAGGAAATCATTGTTGACAGCAGCACCATATTCCTGGGGGTGCACATCACAAACACCCTCACCTGGACTGTAAACACCACCACACAGGTCAAAAGGGCACAAAAGCGGTTGCACTTCCTGTGAAGGATGAGCAGAGCCCACCTGCCCCCACCCAACTTTGCAGCCTTCTACAGAACCATGGACAGCGTTCTGACCAGCTGTCTCACTGTGTGGTGTGGAGGCTGCAGCGCTGCAGACTGGAAGAAGGTGAGAAGAATGATGAGAACAGCGGAGAAAATCATCGGGGCTCTTCTTCCCTCCATTAAGGACATTTTATC